TGAGGCAGCTCTGTTGCTACCAGCCTGAGACTGACATTCACATGAGGAGGAGAGTGGAGGGCAGAGCAGAGAAATGGGGTGGTACCTCTGCAGGCACTGAGTCCTTTGCCACTGGACCTTATTGTTTAAGCCATTTTGTTTTATTTGGGTTGTTTCATTTTCAAAAAGGAACTTGTAAGTGCATGAAGGAATATATAAACCAAATTGATATTGTAGCTAGTTGTATGTTAATTGGTAGCTCTGCAGTGTTTTTGTTTTTATTTTTATTTTTAACAATGTTATTGGGGTGACAATGGTTATATGAACATATAGGTTTCAGGTGTGTATTTCTGTGTTATAAAATCTGTATATTGCTCTTTGGGCCTTCAGTGTATTTTTTAAAAACTTAAAGTATATCACCCTAGCCGTTTTGGCTCAATGGTTGTTAGAATGGCAGCCCATGGACTGAAGGGTTCAGGGTTCGATTCCGGGCAGGGGCATGTACCTCTGTTGTGGGCTTGATCCCTGGTCAGGGCACATAGTGGAGGCAACCAGGTCAGGTCAGTGTGTCTCTCACATCAATGTTTCTCCCTCTCCCCCTCCCTTCCACTCTCTCCAAAAAGCAATGGGAAAAAAAAAAATCCTCTGTGAGGATTAAAACCCCTCCACAAAAACCTTAAAGTATATTTTCTAATAGTTTTGGGAAGAGGACAGGAGGTGAGTAGGGAATGATTTTAGAATTGTAAGGCATTCGAAAGAATGAGGGCAAGATTAAGTTCTAATGGAAATAGGACATGAAATTGTTCATTTTTCATACGAATGGAATTAGTCACACCATTTTTACTAGTGCACAATACATATGTTTTATGTAAAATTATAAGAGTAGGAGGAAACTACATGAATTAACAGGTCTTTTAAGAAACTTATTAGGAAAATTATCAAATATATACAAACATAAAGGGAACAGAAATGCCCCCTCTCACTCCGAAGTGTATGTAGCACCAGCTTCAACGGTAATGATGGTGCCAACAACGGCCATGTTGTTTCACTTGTACCCCCTAACCCCGCCATTGGGGACTTTAAAACACATCCAGATACCACATTGTATCCAAAATATTTCAGTATGTATCTCTGACATCTAAACAGCTTTAATGAGTCATGGCTGACATATAATAAACACATATTTAAAGTGTACAATTTGATAAATTTGGACATATGTCCACAAAGCCACCACCACAATCGAGATAGTGGACAAATCTATCACCCCCCTGGAGTTTTTGGGCATCTTTGTAATCCTTCTCTTCCTCACCCCCATACACTCCCCCAGGCAGCCCCCCCATGTGCTTTCTGTCACCATATACTAGTTTGCACTTTCTGTAAACGAGCTCTTTGTGCCGTTTCACTCAGCATAATTGAGATTCATCATGTTGTAGTCAATATATCAGTTCATTTATTTTTACTGTGGTATTATTGCCATGTCCCAGAGTAAATTTAACATAGTTCCTTATTACCATCTAACATCCAGTTTTTAAATTTCCCCATTGTCCTATAAGTGTGCTTTTATAGTTGGCTTGTTCGCATGAGGATGCAGACATGTTCACTCAGTGGCACTTACCTTTTTAATTCCTCCCCTTGCATCTACTCTAAGTTATTGGTTCATTATCTTTAATAATGATCTTACTGTGATGGCAAGTAATTATGTAGAAATCTCATGGGAAAAGACATTTTCCCTCCCCTCCCCCCATCTTTACACAATATTTTAAGGATGGCAAGAATTAGACAGTTGACATTCTTAATAAAGTTCCTTATAAAGAAAGTATGTTTCCAGGAAAATCAGTGACGCTGCTCCTGATGACAGTTAGCACAGATTGCAGCCGAGCGCGCCACTTCCTGTTTTTCTCTGCAGAGGCTGCTCTGGAATTCCCCTCGGTTGCCCATGATTTAAATCTTGTCTCTCTCACCCTAACACAGCACACCAAGAAAGTGCTCCATTCTCTAAATGCCTACGTGTGCCTGGGAAATAGCACATTTTTTAACTTTAAAATATTTACTTACATTCAGCATCTAGGCTTTTGGTTCATTGAGAATGTCTTAGGGACACCTCGGCCTTTCAACCTTTTCTGTCACCTTATAATGCTGATAATCCTTTATTTTTCTTTACCTTCTGTCTCTCCTTTTACTCGATCTACCTCATTAGAAATTAAGCATAATCAAATCTTTCTCATCTTCAAGGGAAAAAATTCAGTCTGACCATCTGACCTAATTTCCTCTCCTCCCTTCACTCTTGCCGTCTTTCTCTCCGCCCAGGTCAGACTTTCCTTCAGCGGTCTGCTTGGCCTCTCCGTTCCCCCCTCCTGGACACTCCGAGGTGCTCGCTTTGTGCGGCTGTGTCCGGCGCACCTGTCTCCGTCTGCTGGTGCCCTCACCAGCTTTCAGCTGTGTTGCCTTCTCACTCTTAATACTTTCAAGAAGACACCTGTTGTTCCTCCTAACTTCAGGATGTTTCTTTTTGACCTTCTGTGATGGTTTATTTTCCTCCACCCAACCTTAAGTGGGTTCCTCTGTGCACTTCCTAGGAAGTCTCAATGTGCAGCTTTTTATGATGCTGGTGACTTGATTTCTTATCTCCATGTTTGCCTTTCAGAACTGTTTCCATATATCCACTGTCCCTCTGGATAAATTCACTTGGATGGCTCCCTGGTCCCTAAAACTCAGTGTGTCTTAGACTGAGTTTTTCCTCTTCCTAGAGCCTGGTCCTCCTGCTGGATGACCTAACCCAAGGAACTGCACATGTTGCTCGGATCTGAAACCTGCATCTCCCTTAACTTTTGCCTCTCGTTCAGGCCCCAAATCCAGCCCAAAGCAAGTACTGTTGATTTTACCTGCTGAACACTTCTTGAATCTATCCACCTCTTTCCATCTCTGCTGTTAGTTGAATCTAATTTCTTTTCACCAACGTTATAACTTAGTTTGGCCCCTCCAGCCTGCTTTCCACCTGCAGCTGTCATGGAGTAGTTTTTTTAAAAATAAAAAATGTTTTTAACTGATTTCAGAGAGGGAGGGAGGGAGGGGGGGAGAGAGAGAGAGAGAGAGAGAGAGAGAGAGAAAGATAGTCTGCCTCCCTCCTGCATGCCCCCTACTGGGGATCAAGCCTAAAACCTGGGCATGTGCCCTGACCAGGAATTGAACCAGTAACCTGGTTCATGAGATGATGCTGAACCAACTGAGTCACGTCGGCTGGGTGAGCCTTTTAAAACCAATGTGATTGTTTCCCTGCTTTAAGAGCTGTGCTCCTTCTAGCCTTCAGGAAGGAAGGACTGAAAGCTCTACTTTTAACATTAAAATCGAGGTGAGATTAGAGAAGGCATGAAGAAACCTTCCAATATGAAAGGAAAAGTTTGACTCCCAACTCAGTAAAGATCAAGTTTAAAAATACTGTTTTCAGTTTTATAAATTAATTACCTAGTAATCATTATGATATAAGTTGAATCTTCTGTTCTTTGCTTTTCAGTGTGAGAGTCAGTCTCTTGAAAAATCAGTTTAGTCCTCTGCTTTTGAACATCCTCAGTATTGAGAATGTGTGTTATTGTATTTGTGAGTGTATATTAATACTCCTCTTTCACAAGCATATTGATTCACAATCGAATCCATTCATTCTTTCAAGAAACATTTCAGGGTAGGATGGGTGGTGGCCTGAATGCACCATGGTGACTGCTCTCCCAGTACCTTCCTGCAGTGACTCAACAGAATAAATCACTTAACATGGAGATGTGGGCCAAGTGTGGCCTCTGCTAAGCTCCAGACACCCTTCCGGAGGAAGCAATGCCTCTGTGTGTTCACAGAACAAGGATGATCAGAATCCTAGTGGCCTGGAAGTAGATCTTACCCTGAGAAGGCCTCGGGCTGAGCCAGGCGGCCCCCTGCATACTGGGAAGCTTTGGGAAAGGTGCAGCCTGGCAGACACCATCTTGCAATTCTGATCTGCAGCAACAAAAGCTAGAGGACGAACAGAATGATCCACACTGGCTCCTAAAACTAATGCGTGAACTTTCCTGCTTTTGTAACTTTGTAGAAAATCACATGCAAATCTTGAGAAGCTGTCACCTGGGTCTGTCATGATACCTTTTTAGGATTTATCAGATCATACCAGCATTTCAGGAGATAGACATAAAATATTATGTTCAAAGGCAGACTTATCCAACAAGTTCAAACATAACTTGCTTTAGTTTTGAAGCAGACTGCAGTTTCAGGAGGGTACTGTTGAAAGGGAAGTAAACGGGTGAGCGGAGCTGGGATTAGACCACTAAGCCAGCACACCGGCCCCTCCCAGTTAGATCCCAGTATCTACAGTCATGGAAAACTTGGGGCTGTTTTAACATCACTGAAAAGTTGTGCTCAGAATGAGTATGGTGCGGAATGCTGTATTTAAATAACAGTGTATTTGCTAACATTAATGGTCACTGATGATAATTTTATATTCCTCTTTTTTTAAAGAATAAAACTTAAATGGTTACTTATATAGTGATGGCCAAAGCTAGACCAAATCATCTATTTTAAGTTCTAAATAACAACCTAATTATTTTGCTTTACCCATCATTTTTTGTGCATATATTCTCTTGGAAATTTTATCACAACTTGTAGGAGACCAAGATTCAGGTAGTTTTGTGTCCTGGGCAAATTTTTTTTTATCCTCACTAGAGGACATTTAAAAAAAATTTGATTTTAGAGAGAGAAAGGGACATGGAAGAAGAGAGAGACAGACATCCATGTGAGAAACATCAGTGGTTTCCTCCCATATGCACGAAGGATTGAACCTGCAACCTGGGCATGTGCCCTGACCAGGAATTGAACCCGTGACCTTTAGGCGTATGGGATGATGCTCCAACCAATGGAGCCACACCAGCCAGGCCTCCTGGGCAAATTTATTATATTATTAAGCAAAGTCCATAATATATACATCCATCAGAATAAGTGTTTTGTTAATTAGATCATTTTCTCAACATATTGTTCTCATATTTCAGAAAAGGCGTCGTCGGATTGACCGAAGTATGATTGGAGAGCCAACAAACTTTGTACACACAGCTCATGTTGGATCAGGAGACCTGTTCAGTGGAATGAATTCAGTAAGTATATTGGTGGGACATGCCGATGAGGCCTTGAGGCGCAGGTGTATATGTTTTTAATGTTACACTACGCTAGATGCCTTTGTAGACATCAAACATACATACATAATGTCAACATAGAGAATAAAGTGACCAGTGAAAAAGTAATCTCTCATCTAGTTTGTCAAGCTACCTACTTGTTTCTATTTCAGTACTAAACTCTTAATAGCTACCTTTCTCCTGAATACATACTATTTTTTTAATCCTCACCCAAGGATATTTTTTCCATTGATTTTTAGAGTGGAAGGGAGGGAGGGGGAGAGAGACATCAATTGGTTGCTTCCTGCACGAGCCCCAACTGGCGCCAGAGATCAAACTTGCAACCGAGGTACGTGCCCTGGACTAGGAATTGAACCCAAGACCCTTTGTTCCGCAGGCTGACGTGCCAACCACTGAGCCAGACTTGCCAGGGCTGAATATATACTTTAAAGGATTTGGCAGTAAGTTGGGAAGAATCAGAAGTAAAAAGATCTATTGGCTGTCTTTTATAGAGATTTCAGCGAATTTCAGAATAGACTTTATCTGAACTCTCTTACTCCTTAATTTTATCTAAGAGAAAAACAGTGCAAGATACTAGATGCACCACCAACTGAGGGATTTTTAAAGAATCAGGGCTCTGCCTCACTCTTGCCCTGAAACAAGCCATTGTCGAGAGCCTCTTTCCGGTATCTACAGTAAACAGATGTCTAAATGATCCCTAAAGCATTTAGACCCGGAAAGTCATAGGCTTTTATAAACACAAAATTATGATCAGTTGTATATATTCACTCACTGGACAGCGTTAACAAAAGACTTAACAGGAGAACAAACTTTAAAAATAGGTAGGTGAGTATCCTGGATACAGCAAACAGGCCTGTCAGTTCAGTTACTAGGTAAGCAAAGGAATGACATTTGTATCTTCTGTGAAAGGAAACAGCTTGTTTTTAAATCAGTGGGAAAAGTGCTGTTTCACTCAGCTGCCGTTCGTGACTGTGGAAGAAGTCAGGCTGCTGTCCAAGTAACGCAGGGGCTTTGCTTCTCAGATCAGCATGTGTTACCGAGAAAGACTAAATGGGAACCTGCGACTTGTTAATATGGTTATTCTAATACAGAGAAGTAGAACGCATGGTTTCAAACTTACTATATGTGATGAATTTTAATATCTATCTTATCAACAAATGTCTTCCCCACTTCAGGTTTTTAAAAACTCTGTATAGGACAAATGAAATGTTTAGTTCATGGTATCAACTTCTAAAATCTTGTTTATGCACAGTTCAGAATTTCCTTTAAGATTCCCATCTGGCATTGTCTCCACAAGCCTGTCATAGGTGTGTGTAGCTCTGTCACTTGCTGTCCGTGCAGCGCATCCCCATCTGTCTCTTCAGCTGAGTGCAGGGTCAGCGGGGCTGAGGGAGGGTCTACCCTGCAGTCTCGGGCAGCCTTCTGCTTACAGAAGTGGAATTTTTATGAAGTATTTTAGCCCTTTAGAACTTAATAAGCCTTTCTTAGTCATTGCTTATATTAGCGTGTTGCCGCTTCTAAAGCCATATGCAGCCCCCTGCGGCCCCCCAGCTCCAAGTTCTGTAGGCTGGGTGTTGTGAAATCCCTTTCCTGAACTATCATTGATAGTTCTAACTTGTAGAAGCCAGATTCCGTGAGAAAATTCTGTTCTCCTGTGCAATAATAGTGCAACTAAGACAGAACCACAAATAGACATGCTGTTTATCCAAGGAAATATTTTCTCTTAAGTTTGTCCATCCTAAGACCTGAGCAGCTGGAATTAGGACCATGGCTTGATGCATGTGAAGAGGCCACACTGGATCATTGGTCAAGTGACTTGTAGTTTCTCTTCCTCTTTTCTTCCTGAGACTGTCTTTCATACTAACTTCTTGCTAGAAAAGGTTTCTGTGACCCTTTTTATAGTATCGCCCTATTGTGTTAAAATATTTTATGTCCAGAGTCACCCAAACAGAATCAGTCCCCATCCTTTAGTTTGAAATTGAATTCACTTTTGGAGGAAAAAGAATCTCCATGGAATCATGTAAAATGATAGACTGTTTTTAAGTAAGCCTGGAACACCTATGAGCTACCTTGTAGCGGGTGTGCTGGCTCTTCAGGGTTAGGCCAGCACCTCAGGGCTCCCTCCTCTAGCACACTGGCTTGAGTCTCCCATCCTCACTGCTCCTGACTGACAGCAGAGTAGTAAGATTGGACTAATGACACACTAAGAGCACCGCACAACTTGCAAATAACTTTGTGCTTTTGTTTCAGCAAAGAGAGAAAATATCCCAGTATTTATGTCTCACAATCTATCAGGAATAGCACAGTAATGCAGTTAGCAGAGATGATCATATTAACCATTTTACCAGTAAGAGGCCTGATATTCTGAGAGGGTAACTAGTTTATCAGAGTTACAATAATAATAAGTAATTCTGGACTCGAGCCCAAGGCTTTGGATTCTCAGTGTCTTTTTAGTTTATTAGATTATATTAAGACTGTATCAGGTGTGTAAATTTTACCACATAGACTTACAATTTAGTCGTCCAATTTTATTTTTGTTTCTGAAAAATTCTAAGTAATTGAGGTGATCATATATGTGAGATGTATGTAAACTAAGATATTTAAGGTTGAAGAACTGAAAGCTGAGTTGATTTGTATCCTTTTAAAAATTTTTTTACTTTAGAGGGGGAGAGAGAAACATCAATGTGAGGGGGAAGCATCAATTGGTTGCCTCGCGTACTCACCCCAACTGGGGATTGAACCTGCAAACTGGGTATGTGCTCAGCCAAGCCACACTGACCAGGGCTGACTTATATTCTTTTTACTTCTTTTGAAATGTTACCAAGTGCCTTGTGAATTACAAAAATGATTTTTATTTTTTGTAGAGGAGTTGTAGCAAAAAAATGTTTTAATTACTAGCCTCAATATCTGCACCCTTACAATCAGAAAAATTTTGTCTTTAAAAATCGATTATAGATTTTTTTTCTATAGAATAGTACCCTTCTGAAAAAAGTAACCAAAATGTTGAGACAAGAATCACTTAGTTGCGTTGGCCTTACTTCCTGACTTTTGTCCTGTTTTAGGTTAGCTCCATTCAGAACCAAATGCAGTCCAAAGGAGGCTACGGGGGTGGAATGTCTGCTAGTGTGCAGATGCAGCTTGTGGACACGAAGGCAGGATAGCCCCATCCCTTCTCCAGTGAGTACCCCAGGCTCAGACATGGCCAGCTGACAACGTAGACGGCCTTAATTAGGTATTGGGGTTGAGATATATATAGCTGACCCTTGAACTACACGGGTTTGAACTGCACAGGTCCACTTGTACGTGGGTTTTTTCCCCAGCAAATACTGTAAATGTATTTTTTCCTCCCTATGACTTAACATTTTCTCTAGCTAACTTGAAGAATACAGTAATACAAAATGTGTGTCAATCGACTTACTGGTAAGGCTTCTGGTCAACAGTAGGCTATTAGTATTTAAGTTTGAGGGAAAGTCAAAGTTATACACAGATTTTCAGTGGTGTGGGGAGGGGGGTGTCAGTGCCCCAACCCCCATGTTGTTCAAGGGTCAACTGTATTTTGGTTTTCTTTTTTTAAAAAAATTGGGAACAAAAGGCAGAACTATTTTACTTGGCTAAATGTTAAGTGATGGTCATAGGCATTGCCGCAGTTTGAATATTAGTTTTAGGTTGCTCTTTTAATGCATTAAAACATCTGATTGGGAGGCTTTGAGATTTGGGTGACAGGACAAAACTCACGTGTCCTTTAAACAATGAATATTGATGCACACAATCCTACATGTAGTGAAGTAATTTTATATTTAACACTGTGCTGTTGATGAATCTTTTATCAACTTTTAAAAAGGATGAACCCCTAAAAGTGTAAAAATAATTTGGGTTTTTCGTTTGGTTTTATAGGTCATTGTGAATTTCTGTTTTCTCTATTATTCTTGAATTATTGTGTGACTGCTTTTCTTTTCTTTTCAATAACAAAAGAGAAGTGTGATGGTGTCTTGTCCATCCTGTTGTGACCCTCCAGTGAGACGTACTGTTCTGCCAAGAAGCTACTGTCGGACGAACCCTGCATCTCCTTCAGCTGGCTGCATGCCTTTCACTCCTGGACAGAGTTCTTAGATTGTGGCTTAAATTTTAATTTGTATCAACATGGATCTGACTTTAGCATGATCTTTTCTGTGAATGCTAGCACTATTTTGCATTTTTTTATTTTAAACATTTCTCTTTCTACCTGCCTTATGATTTTATTGGTAAGCAAGGACCTACTATTATGTCACCATTTATGTATATTTTGGAAGGTATGAGACCCACAAGCACAATGATCATTTTTCTTCACTTGAAATGTCAGCAGACTAGACATCTGCATGCTTTATGAGGCTGCTGTGTGGAGCCCGTGGGCTGGTGATGCTGCTGCTATTAGAGAAAGGTTAGTTGTGGTGCCAAGTCACACCCGTGTCACACAAAAAGGTAACTTGTAGCTTATTAGAAATACAACTTTTTGGTCTATTTAGTGAGAATTATAGTACAAGGCAAGTTTGCATTCATAAGGCCTTCATTCTGTTGTAAATGTTCAGTGTATTTATTGAGAGCAAGGACCTCTGAGTGTAAGCAGGGCGGCCATGCGTCTGCGTGTGTTGTTAACACCCTCCATCCAGCTCTGAGCAGCAGCGGCTCGTTTCTCTGCACTCGTTCTGTCATCCGTCGCTTGCTTTGATTTTATGTTTCATGTTATGGCGTCTGGTAGCAGTTTGTTGAACTTCTGGCCTCTCCTACTAACTGAAGACTCAGTGGCCTTTCCACACTCCACGTATTTGGGGCAGTGGAAGTTGCCAGAGCAGCGTGCTGACCTGGCTGAATCATTGCCACTGAAAACCACCTGTCTGATGACTTTATGGAATTGGTGAGAAAACCTTTGCTTTGGTTCCAAATATGTTTATTCCACAAACTACTTCAGCTGTATCTGTAAATGCTTCTCCTTCCCCATAAGGGTATAACATTTAGCCAGTGAGTGGTTTGCATCTTTGTTAAAATGTAAATCCTGTGTCCAGTTCTAACTACATGTGGTCAGATTAACATTTCATGCAGTGAATGGGGCTTCATTGAAAGCTCAGAGCACTGAGGAATTAGGCAACTGAAACAGTGGTCATCTTCCCGTCTGGCTTTTTTAACCCCTTCCCCTTCACCGTAGTCCTCAGTCCTTGCGAAAAGGTAACTGAATAAGTATTAGGTTTGTGGAAGCAAAATACGAAAGCGTTTCTTCCCATTCCTCTGGAATTTCGCTTATGCAGTACTTGGGGCACCAGATTACTCAGTCCTTGTGCTTCTAGTTTTGAGCCTTCGGAGGTGTCAGTCTCCAGCAGAGAGAGAATCTGTCAAGGAAAAGCATTTGTTTAATAACTTCTAAACTATAATTCATCTGGTGTCACTAATGCAGTGTGTGGATATTGCATCCTGGAATCTACCAGAGCCTGCAGGGACACTGCCCTGTGCCAGCTCTTAAGACTAAGACGGACTGGCTTTCCTGAAATCGTCAGCACTGGTGCCATTTAGTCCACTTCTGCCTTGACTTTAGAAATTAGTACACTTTTTATACTTGTCCTGGAACAGTAGTACAGGGAGCCACAGCCCCTTTCCCTGACTCATGATTTGAGTTTCCAATTGCTGTCTTTTCTGCTTCTCCAAGGACCAAAATACTCCATGTGCTATGGAGCGAGTCTCCGTGGAAAGCCGCAGGCTGTGCAGCGCCACAGGGAGTGCCCACACTGTGTATAAGGGCACAGGCTAAGGAAGGTGCCAGTGAAATCACGAATTACCACAAATTCTAAGTTAGGAACCTGGAACACAAATCCTTTAGGAAGGCTTGAAGGTATTTGGGAGTGCGGAGGAGGCAGCTTCCCCACATTCATAGGTGGGATTATAAATCTTGGGAGGTCATTTGGTCCCCTTAGCAATGGATTGCATTTTAAAATTGAAGCTAATTAAATAGGATAGACTGTTAATACTGTTGAAATACATCCTCATAACTGTTATGCAAGGGAAACTGGGTGAAGGTTTAACTAATGACATGGATTCTATTAGCAGTGACCCGCATTCTGTAAAACAGGTGCTTTCCCGTGATCCAGGCACCAAGCATAGAGTGGAAGTGTTAACTCTGGTGTCAGGATCAGCATTTCTGATGCAGCATTATCCCTGGGCCTTTAAAGATACTGAGAGTATATTAGCTTTCTCTTTGTTACTAAATTATAGCGGTTTCATTATAGCGAGCAAGTTTGCCTTGATTTTGTTTAAAATGACTTCTGCTCAGCACCCAAAAGATAAAATTGACATATTTTTATAATATAAGCATACTTTGTTTTGTACATTGTGTTCATTCTTGAATAAAGTGAGTTCAGTGTTGGCTTGTAGATATTAAAAAGAAAGTATTGATTCAATAAATGTTTTCTTTCAATCCTGGTTTGGATTTTCCTTTATTTCAAGGAATTATTTACCATTCTTATATTCTCAGTTAAGACTACTGTCGTGCAATAATTTACCAAATGCCTAGTCAGAATGAACCTTAAATGTTTGGAAACAGGACTTGTTAAATACCCCTTTTCTCCAAATTTTCATTGCCCAGCAACATCACAAATGATTTTCAAATACCTATTCAACTTCCCATGCTGAAGCATTTTGTTCTCACAGTGTATGTAGGAGTTAAAGAATTTTGTTTCTTAGCCATAGTAGCCACATTTCAAATGCTTAATAGCTCTATGTAGCTATCAGCTGCCATTTTAGACAGTTATGGAACAGTTACATTATCACCAAGTTTGGGCAGGTTTGAGGTCCCCAGGGAATGTCTGTCAGTGTATGGAGATGTTTTAGGTCGTTACAACTTGAAGGGGTGCTGCCGCCTGGTGGGGGTAGAAACCAGGGAGGTTGCTCAGTACCTGTGGTGCACAGGACAGCCCCACATGTCATAGTGGCCACAGCTGAGAATACCTGGATCTAGAACAAAGAAGATCTGTATACTCACCAAATACATCCTGAGATCAGGTCAGGTAGGTTGGACTGTATCATGAGAACTGCCACCCAGTGTTCTAAACCAGAAGAACATGAGAAAATGATGAGAAAAGAGTGTTTCAAAAAGTTTGATAATCTTTGTCCTCATTTTATGGCCAAAGACTCAAAGGAAACTGGGTTAAGATGACGTTCCTTGTAAGACTGAACACTGACGGTGCAGTAAGACCTCCCAGTTAAGCAGGAAAGGAAGTCCCTGAAGGAACTCACTTTTGCGTATCAGGAGCTCTGTGCTGGAAAACGTTGGGTACGTTTTCCAAGGACATGCATAAAATGTGGAAGGAAGGGCTCATCAGATAAGCGCAAAAGGTAGGACCAATCTATAAAAACAGTATTAGGGACATCCGGAATTGGCTAAAATTTGTGAAAATGAAAAAACCTACAAAATTGATACAGACCAGAAGGAAATTATACCCTCTCCTTAAAACAGGCTTTCAGCAGACTGGAAAGAAAACAACTGAAATTTTACCTTCAATTTATTGTCTCTATCCAGAAAGGTTCAGCAAGAGAACTTAAACCATTAAGTGACTTACTAATCTGACTTTCTAAATTTGGGCACCATAAATTTTAGTTTTAATGGTGTTTCCAAGACAGTGCAGTTTTGTTTTTTAAGTGCTTCCTACCAGGCACATGCAACCTCTGGCTCCTTTGGATCTTTACCCGCATTCTCTCCGCCTCATCGTCAGTTTTCTATCTGGCCTGCCTTTGACGCCTAGAAGAAGAAGAAAAAAAGTTACTTCCTGAGTAAGAAGATGCAAACGTGTGGCCTGGGACCTCACAGCAGTTGCGAGAGTGGTGACCTTGTCTTGCAGGAACGATGACGCCAGTCAAGATACTGTCTGATTCTAACCCCATCCTCTCACGGTAGTCCACGCTCCCGAGCCCACGGGAGCTTTCACAGCTCACTAACGTCCTGCGTTCGGGAGGCTCGGGCAGGCGAATGCCCGACAGCCTGCCTGGCCTGGAAAGGCTTCCTAGGCGCAGGGTTTCACTTTGGCTCCTTGAAAGGAGTAGCAGGTGAGATACTAATGTAAAATCTTCAGAGCTTCACCCTTTTCTTAATGTTCTTCACATCTCCCATCTAAACACATTCAACCCTTGTATGTCTGTAATATCAATCAATTTTGTCCCATAAACACTTTTCACAAATGTCTACAGGTTCTGCTTTAAAGTTTCACTACCTGTAAAGTGTTTTAGTCTGGGCTGTTAGAACAAAATACCCCGGACTGGGCAGCTTATAAACAGAAAAGGTTATTTCTTGTGGTTTGGGGAGGCTGAAGTTCGACATCAGGGCCAAGCATGGTCAGGAAAGGGCACAGACCGTATCTTCTGGAGGCAGAAGGGACTAGGGGTCCTTCTGGAGCCTCTTTTAAAGGGCACTAGTCTCACAAGAGTTACCCCTCATGACTAAGGCTTCCTGATACCATCGCCTTTGGGAATTAGGACTTCCACATGAATTCGGGGGGACAGAAACATTCAGACCACAGCATAAAGTTCAGGAAATGAGAGGTCGTCCCTTGTAGGAGCAGCCACATCCAGCTTGTGTGTGACAGAGCCAAGGCCCCAGAGCACCTGGGCCCACAGCCCAACAGGAACAGCGACCACCACAGCCCAGGAGCAGGCAGTCCTCTTCCGTCCTCCCTCCTGACATTCCTGAAGGAAACTGACATGAGCGAACATTCTAGAAAAACAACATTGGTGAGTCAGAGATGAGAAGGTAAAGGGAATGCAGGATTCCAGTGGTCCAACCTGCGACCAATAGGAATTTGCTAAAACTCATGGAAGTTTCTTTTACAAAAGGCAAGCAAGGAAAATGCTCTGAAAACAACAAGTAATGAGGTCTTCATTGTGTTTTGAAGTTTCAAAAAATTGTTTTTTAGTATTTATACTTCCACAGTCTTCAGTCGAACTCTGGGAAATCACGTTATGTCTCTGATTAGTCGTCCTGAGGATCCCCAGACTTCTTGGCAGCAGCGGTGAGGTCTAGAATGTAACGGAGCCCTCCCCTCAGACTCTGAAAGTACTTTGAACTGGTGGTGTACCTACAGCCAGACTCAAAGACGTGAGACTGCAAAAGATGATCAGACTAGCAAGGAATCAAACTTTCCACAAATCTGCCTGAAACACTTCCTTCAGTCTGCTTTGTAAGAAAAAGCACACTGGTCGTGTAACTCAAAGAAACCTCGGGATTTCTAGGCCTGAAGCAGAACTAGAAAGCAGTCTACCCAAATTAGAGCAAACGAGAAGAACTTAAGTGGTTACAAAAAGCATAATTAAAGGGATGTCGTTTAATACCTGGAAGATTCATGCATTCAAGTTTTTAGGTACTGGGGTTACAGCAGCGAGCAAAGTTCCTCTGTCCTCCAAGGAGCTGTCATCCTAGGAGTGGTGTGGGTGCAGAGACAGGAAGCCAAACGAGTAGAGAAAAGGTTAGAAAGTGATGAGTGCCCTGGGCAAACAGTGGGGATATGGGACAGGTCATAGTCACAGGACAATGTAAACTTTAGAAAAGCTGACAAAACCCAGATGTGAGACCGCAGAAAAGAAATGGAGGTAAGTGCTAATCTCTGCGTACAGACTGGGAGTTCATAAAGCACTGTCTGTTATAAAAATAACAGATGGAAATGGAAATGTAAAAATTTAACCCTAACTGCTTCGAAGGAAAGACAAGTCTGTTGGAAGCTTCATCTTTCATGGTATAAAATCATTTGTACAATTCAAAGTTGGTAGATCAAGAAATGAAAGTATGCCTATATTATTTAAAGTTAAGGAGGTAACCCTCAGAGAATTCAAATGCAAATAACTGAGTAGTGATCCTTAGAAGTAGGGATGGAGTGTGAGAAGTGGGTAAGAGACATTTTTCATGTGATGCCAGTCTATCCTGTTTGGATTTCATAATAGTAACATAAAACAGTAGCACTTTAAACAAAAAATATTAGGTGACATCAGCAGGGTAACTAGGAAGCTCCAGGCCCTTGTTTCCCACAGAAGTGGCCAATTAACAGTACATGGACCAAAAAGCTTTGTGAGAACTCTAGAAACCAGTCAAGGCGCTGCAGGAACCAAGCGAACGCATCAAAGACAAAGCCACCCTCCGATGGCCGGCAGAGTGGTTCGCCTTGCCGGCCTCGCCAGGGCCGGGACCCAGAATGCCTGGAAGCACCGCGAGCAGCACCTACCCTGACGTTGAAGCCACCGGCGCTGGCTGCCTTCGGGGAAGTCAGAAGCCAGGACGAGGTTCAGGCTCTGCTCGGAGCAGCGAGTCCGCACAGGATTCAGGAAGTGCTGCCATCCTGAGCCCGCGACCCGATGCCTGTCCCTTGCACGCGCCTCCTGGAATAGAAAGAGCTCTTTGATCCATATTATTACTTTGCCATGAGCTCAAATAGGATTTGATGATGATAGAAAATAACTACTTAGAAAGCTTGTTAGCAACTTAGCATGATGAAGGCCCAGGGTTACAGTGAAGGAAGCGCTTGACAAGCTGGAGTTAACCCGCGGTCGTTGCCCTGAGCAGCTTTGCCCTCAGTGCAGTCTCAGTGCTGACTAGCACTTTGATCCCCAGGGCCCCAGGGACTTCATGGGTGACACACAGGAGATCTGGAGTCTGGGTTTTTATTAGGTGTGTGCAACTGCCCTAAGTGTGCTGCTGGACTCACCAGCCCAAACCTTCCATTGCTGCCTATTGGCTTTCCCCTCCCTCTCCAGTGGCAGCTCGCCACAAATTATTTGTTAATCTTTCTTGGAGTGGTTTTTGGCGTTAGAAAAATTGTGGTAAAACACACAAGCATAATATTTACCATCTTAACCACCACATTCAAGTGTACATTTCATCAGTGTTACATTTACATTGTTGTGCAACCCATCTCCAGAAACTTTTCATCTTGCACAACTGAAACTAACCTATTAAACAGTGCCCCATGCCCCCTCCTGCCCCCTCCAACTACTCCTTTCTATGACTAAGACTTCTCTAGATACCTCACAGTGATATCAGTATTTGTCTTACTGTTACCGACTTACTTCACTTAGCACGTCCGTTCTCAGTATAAACAAACATGTAGAAGACATTGTGCTTGCTCAGTGAAGCCCTCAGAGATCCCAGAAGTGCTGGCCTGGCTCTGCCTCAAACTTCCTGCTTTTATAGTTTTCAGGTTCCTCCCCTCTCAGGTTGTCTCACAGTTACTACCATGAGTATGCTTCCCCCTAGTCTTCCACTCACCATTTAAAATTCTGACTTCCTGTGTGCTTTAACTTAGAAACAAAGTTCTGCGTCTCCTCAACAACTCAGGAATACAACTTCAGTGCATTTTCTATGTGGAATCAATTTTAGTTTTTGGAGCATCTTGATTATATTTCAAATAGTTGAGGTTGTCAGATAAATGACCACTAGAT